CGCAAGAAATTGCAAAGATCCAAAGATAACGGCGCTGGCACTTTCGATGCTTGTCCAGAAGGTCGGCCGTTCTGGAAAAGTTGTAGATGCGAAGATCATCACCGATTCAGCTTTCCTGGGTGTGCACAGTCCGCCTGGAGAATTTAGAAGTCTGCTCAAGGTCTACACTAAACTCTCGCATGATGCACTGGTTTCAGACGATGTGGCTACACTCGAAGCTGTCATGGCTGCGCGTCTCAACCTCTCTAGGGAAATTTCTGCCGATGAGCCTACCTTCGAAATTTATCTTACACATCTGCTAGACACCATTGTCAGCAAGGGAGATGCCCAGGAGACTTCGCATCGCCATCTGAGAGATACTGAGCTCGCGGCTCAAGAGATTGCGCAGATACTAAAGCCTCTCGCGCTTTTGCTTGAACGGAATGCGGAACGAGCGGAGTTCTCCGAGCTGGATGATTCCATCATTGGGCTCCAGCGTGATGCTTGGTTCAATATCGTTGTTCACGGCTTCGATCTGCTGTCCGACCTTGGCAAACAACACAGGGAAGAGTTGCGCACTCTTGCACGGTTCAGCAAGCCCCTCATCGCAGAGGAGCGGCCCTTCCTTTCGGAAAGTGACATCGAACTCAACACGGTGTTGCGTCGCGGTAAGTCGCCTGAACATACTGTCGAGCAGAAGAAGAGGCTTGGGAAACTGCTTCCGTCATGTGAGCCCGACACCAAGTCCTTGAGTTATCAGGAAGCAGTCTTCCTGAGCACGGCATATCTGGTTGAAGATTTACGCGCAAGTGCCGGGGATTGCACCAAGGCGCTTGCGTACTTTCTTGATCCAAAGCTGCGAACTGGCGCAGTGGGTAATTGCATGGCTGCCATTGCAACAACGGCCGTTCGGACCTATCTGGCGAAGACGCTGTCGGGTCAATCCCACACGTTCTCGACCCCGTACCTTGCGCGCCAGCTAGCGACGATATTTTCCGCGTGCTGTCATCGTATTGCCCGCGTTCAGCAAGCGGCAGCTACCTGTGCAGATATCATTATCCGCGAAGTGCCATCCACGCTATGTCAAAAGAGTGCGCTATTTGCCCTCTTAGAGCTCCTTTCGATGATGTGGTACAGTTGCCTTGAAGGCGAGACTGATGATTATACCTGGAAGTCGACCTTTACATCAAAGCGGTCCAACATAGTGGTTGAGCTGTCTGATGACTACGCTTTCCGACGAGCGACTCTCGAGGCGTTACACAAGCGTGCAATCGCTTGGGTGAAGGGAGCGCTCGACATTGCTCCACTCGATGTCAAAGGGCTTCTTCAGTCGTATCTGTCCGAGTTCGATGATGAAATGACTTTTGGTCATATATCGCTCGGACGATCTTTTGCGTTGGAGATGGGGTCCGTCATTCCGTCAACTGATCAGCGCCTTGGTGCTATTGAACGCCAAGGCATTAACATCAACACTGCGTCGGACTTCATCACTCAATATACCACGAGACAGGAATACAAGTTTCTCGAGGGCGTTGCTGATCAAGAAGAGGAATGGCTCCAGGGTGCACCGGCTTCTGGACGGAAGTCGACATACCTCTCACGAAGCTTACACGAAGCGACGAATCTTCTAGTGGACTTGGAGAACCGCACCCTTAATCACAAGCATGTTACAATTGCTGAGCTTCGCGATATATTGCGGAGAGCGGCTGCGCTTCTATGCAGGGTGAAGACGGACCAGTCGCCTATCGTTCAGCATCTAGTCGGAATTCCCTTCGCCGTGTTCTCGAAGCAGTCCATCAAGCTGGGTATATCACTGTGGACGAGCGTTGCCAAAGAGAACCCTCGTATGGAATCCCGCATCCTCGTCGCCATTGCAGAAAATTGGGAGAATACGGTGCGCAAGCGTCGTGGTATCTTCAGCCCTGCACTGAGACACGAAGATCCCTTCTACGGAAAGCAAGAATTCGCTGCAACAGACAAAGAAGCACTCTCAAAACGCCAGCAGCAGATCTACAACCTGATCGCTCCGCACTTCCGCCTACTGCAGTTCTTATCTAGCCACTTCAGTGCCTCGAGGTTGAGCAGAGCGGACGTTGGGCGTGTTTACGTTCGGCTAATGCACATCACGCTCGATGCCATGAGTGGTGGTTGCTCGCAGCCCCTTGCTCGCGAGTCGTACTTCCATATCGTTCTGCTTGGATTGCGCATTGCACGTCACTGTACCACATTGTCGGCGACCATTAAATGGCGCCTGACGGATCGCATACTGACTGCTGCTCTGGCGTGGTTTGCGAAAGCCCCGCAATGGTCCTTTGGAGGCAACCGCCTACAGATCAAGGCTGAAACACATGTCCTTGCAGACGTGCAGGCGCAGCTTGACCTTATCGGAAAAGTCACAACTGTTACTGAGATCGGCACGAAACTGAAGGCAAAGCAAGATCTCCTCTCCTTGCTGCTCTCGAATGAGCAGACCCGTCTCATGGTGTGGTTGTTCCCACTCGATTACGGCAAGAAGCACCACTTTACTTCTGGGCGCCACAACAATACACTTCCTGATGTAAGTCGTCTGTATACATGAATCGATAGGAGCTAACGTAACTAGACTGCCGTGTCTGCTCATCTAAAGACCGCTTGGACGGAGAACCCTGCTATTGCTGTACACCTCCTCAAGCGCTTCCAGTCGCAGCGCCTCAACAACGAGGTTCGATGGCAGGTACTCAACTTCCCGCACAAGGTTTTGGATGAGCCTGATGCTCTAGAGATCCTTCTAGGCAATCTCTTACCGAGCGATGTGTCATTCCAGCTTAAGTACATGCTTTACTGGAAGCCTGTCAACCCTATCACGGCCGTCACGTACTTCCTTCCGGCTTATGGGAACCATCCTTTCATTATCCAGTATGCGATGAGAGCATTGGAGAGCCACTCGGTTGACGTCATGTTCTTCTACGTATATCAGATTGTACAAACCCTTCGATACGACGTCCTGGGCTACGTCGAGCGGTACATTATCGAGACAGCCAAGTTCTCGCAGCTATTTGCTCACCAAATCATCTGGAACATGAAGGCAAACGCGTACAAGGATGAAGCATCCGAGGTACCTGATCCCGTCAAGCCCACGCTTGACAAGGTGATGGGTAGCTTGGAGTCTAGTTTCTCCAAGGAAGACCATGCCTTCTACGAGCGCGAGTTTGCTTTCTTCAACGAGGTCACAGGCATCTCGGGTACCCTCCGCTCCGTCCTACATGAACCCAAAGAGGTCAAGAAGCAGAAGATCGAAGAAGAACTTCGCAAAATTCAAGTGGAAGTCGGTGTTTACCTGCCCTCTAACCCCGATGGTCAAGTCATTGGTATTGATCGCAAGTCCGGCAAGCCGCTACAGAGTCACGCAAAAACACCTTTCATGGCTACATTCCGTATCAGAAAGACGAGACCCGATGATCAAGACCTGGAAGATCAGGAAGACGACAACCGCGACATTGCGCGTCAGCGGGACAACAGTTACGAAACATGGCTCTCTGCGATCTTCAAAGTCGGAGACGACTGCCGTCAAGATGTGCTTGCACTACAGATGATTGCTGCTTTCCGCGGAATTTTCAATACCGTCGGTCTTGACGTCTGGGTCTTCCCCTACCGTGTCACAGCAACCGCACCGGGTTGCGGAGTCATTGATGTACTCCCCAACTCCATATCACGAGACATGCTCGGTCGTGAAGCCGTCAACAGACTTGACGACTACTTCGTGTCACGCTACGGCAACGAAGACTCGATCCGCTACCAAGAAGCGCGCTCCAACTTTGTGAAATCCATGGCCGCCTACTCCGTGATCAGTTTCCTTCTGCAGTTCAAGGACCGACACAACGGCAACATCATGATCGACGACGCCGGTCACATCATCCACATCGACTTTGGTTTCTGCTTCGACATCGCACCCGGCGGCATCAAGTTCGAACGCGCGCCCTTCAAACTCACAGCCGAGATGATTGCCGTCATGTCTGGCAAGAATGCAGCAAACCCGTACCAATCGCAGGCGTACCGCTGGTTCGAGGAACTCACTGTCAAGGCTTTCCTCGCTAGCAGACAGCATTGCGGGCATCTTTGCCACGTCGTACAGGTCATGTTGGATAGCGGACTACCGTGCTTCAAACCCGAGAGTATGAAGAACTTCCGCGATCGCTTTGTGTTGGATAAGAGCGAGAGGGAGGCGGCTGATTACATGAGGGGCTTGATTGAGAAGAGTAGGGGGAGTTACTCGACCGGAACGTATGATAGGTTCCAACTTATCACTAATGGAATTCCCTACTAGGCAGATGAGGGCGAGACGTATGGAGGCTTTCAGTCTGATAGATAATATCGTTATTCTCGTAGAGCAACTAGAATCACGTACTTGCCTCTTGGCCCTTGTCAAAAAGCAACATATCTGCATACCACTTACGCATACCCCATCTCTTGGCTCTTTGCACACCGCCGTATCCCAGGCGACACTCCAATATGTCCCAGTCATGCATATGCATATACTCACGCGGTATGACTCCATAACACGCAGAATAAGCAACACTAGTCTACCTCCATCTCAAAACCACTCAACATCTCACCCAGGCCTCTCGTTTCCCCCGGATTCCACGCGCAAGCGGCTAAACCAGGTATGCATGTCGGCATGGAGCATGCATGGTAGGACGCATCTGGTCTAGCCAGTATAGGAAAGTGAGGTGATTAGTTCGCCCCACATATATACTCCGATTGGCGGGAGGCGTTGGCGGTGACGCGGTGAAAAAAATGGGCTTCTTCTTTGCGCTTATGGCTAATAGGCATTTAGATCTCTTTGCTCATTGAGTAACCTTCCTTTCAAGTCAAGTCCAGGTAGCTGTTGAATGCTCTGGCTATTGGAGTGATATCTTTTCCAATTGTACATTCGGCGCTTACTTCCTTGGAATCGTTATGTTCGTATTTGATAATTAGCCCGACATAGTGGTTCCTAACTTTGAGCGCAATCACGCGTTTTTGGGGTTCGATTTAGAATTACCATGCAGCAAGAGATGGAAATGGATATACGGAGGCTACCTGAGTCAACCGAGACGGGGAAAGAGGAGGTAGACATGGTACAGAAAGGGCAATTGGAAGCAGCGCAAGGAACGGATGTCGAAGAAGAAGCCCAAAATGGGAAGAGGAGTAGGCTGAGAATGGTGGCTATCATCACTGCGCTTTTTGTAAGTTTGGACCTACTCACCATCTCCATGGCATCTTCGATGAACGAAATGCCCAATCTCCCTACAAAACCCTCACATGCAACACACTAACCACCACCCAGCTCTCCCTCTTCGTCTCAGCCCTCGACGCAACAATCGTCTCTACGGCTCTTCCCACTATATCACGCGACCTCAACAGCGCCACGGGCTACACCTGGATCGGCGGCGCGTACCTGCTTGCCAACGCCGCTTCAGGCCCCATCTGGGCCAAGTTGTCTGACATCTGGGGCCGCAAGCCCATCATGTTGGCTGCACTTGCCATTTTCTTTGCTAGCTCGGCGGTTTGTGCGACGGCGAAGACGATGCAGGAATTGATCATCGGGCGTGCGTTCCAGGGTACGGCGGGTGGGGGGTTGATTCTGTTGGTGCATGTTTGCATTAGTGATTTGTTCAGTTTGAGGCAGCGGAGTTTGTTGATGGTGAGTTGCTTGGCAGGTGGTATCGTGGGAGTGGTCTGGTTAATTCTTGTGTGCAGGGCTTCACCGAGGGCATCTGGGCGCTGGCAGGTGGCATCGGTCCGGTCTTGGGCGGTATCTTTGCTAGTCTGGTCACTTGGAGATGGTGCTGTGAGTGTCATCTTTCTCCTCTTCTTCTCTGCGAACTTGCGCTGACTTTAATCCCCCCGACACCCAGTTTACATCAACTTACCTATCAGTGGATTCGCCGCTGTACTCATAGTCCTGTTCTTGGACATCAAGCATGAACACACCTCTTTCATCGATGGTATCAAGGCCGTAGATTGGTTCGGCATGTTCACCTTCCTTGGCTTCACGCTTATGATCCTTTTGGGTCTCGATTTTGGAGGCGTACTTTTCCCCTGGGACTCCGCCAAGGTCATCGCTCTACTTGTAGTAGGCGGAGTGATGATATTTGCGTTCATTTACAGCGAGGCAAAAGTGGCCAAGTACCCATTGATTCCCATGACGGTATTCCGCCGGGGAACAAATATCGCTGCTTTCCTCGTCGTATTCTTCCACGGCTTTGTCTTCATTGCAGGCGAGTACTATATGCCGCTGTATTTTCAAGCCGTTCTCGAAGCTTCTCCGTTGCAGTCTGGACTACTCCTCCTCCCCTTTATCGTCACAGGTGCGATTGCCGGAGTTCTCTGCGGCCTCATCATGCACAAGACTGGCCACTTCCGTGAGATCATTTGGGTGGGCACACTGCTCCTCACCATTGGTTTCGGCCTCTTCATCTCCTTCGACGCATACACATCGACTGGAAAGGCAGTAGGTTTCGTCATCCTCGGCGGTCTAGGATCCGGGATACTGTTCGAGGCACCAATGATTGCTATTCAGAGCCAGGTCGAACAGCAAGATGTAGCTACCGCTACTGCGACACTATCTTTCGTTCGTAATATCGGCGTCGCAATATCCACCATCATCGGCGGTACCATCTTCCAAAACTCGATGAACGGTCAGGCTTCTTTTCTTCGAGACGCTGGGCTACCGCAGAATCTATTGAGTCAACTTGATGGCGACAGCGCCATGGCGAATGTCATGCTTCCTGCCACGTTCGAGAATGCGGCATGGGAACTTGCTGCGAAACAGGCCTTTGCCGCCGCGATGCGCAATATGTGGATCACGTATACGGTACTCGCTTTCTTGAGTTTTGTCGCAGGTCTGTTCATCAAGGCCGCAGTGCTGGGAACGGATCATGTGGAAACTGTCACTGGATTGAAGAAAGAGAAGGTCGCGGCAAGAGTAGAGACGGACAGTTCGTAGGATGTGAAACGCGCTGTGGCGTGCACTTGCGCCGGAAGGTGTGAGGTAGTCGTTGAGATGCTCGCGGCAGCGACGATGACGTCACGCCACTTGGAAACAACCCGTGGGCCTTTACGATGGGAAACCATCTCGACTCGAAATACTCCAGACACCAGCTATCTAGATCAAATCCCGATCCCTGGCCCAGGTTGCCCTGCTTATCGCTTACCCTCCATGGCTCCATTGTGATCTCTATTCTCGCGCACCGTGCGGCACACTGATTGGAGAAAGCTACCTAGGTATAATTGTGCGCGATAGTTTGAAGCTTCGGAATCGCCGTCGCCGATATGATCTGCCTCCTGACGCTTAATACGCTTGCACCTTGCATCGTATCTGTCCAGTATTCCAGACGAATATTGTGTGGAATGCTGTGTGATGACGTGCGGGTAAGGCTGGCAGCGTCGGACAGGCCGACCCCGCCTCGTGGTGGCTGCAGGTAGTCATCTCGCCAGGCCGAATCCCCTGTGGGTAGCGCTCGGTGTGAGCGGGGCCCAAATACTACATCGCATACTGATCTCGAGAGGTTTTCGTTATAAGAGGGTCGCAGTGCGTTCAGTTCCTGGTGCGAAGAGATTCAATGCGACATCGAGGTCTACAACTCTGCGATGGCTGAGACCCAAGAAGCGCGTTGTCTTATCATTTGGCAAAAATACAGCATCTGATTCAGCATTCAGGGTAAGATTAGATTTCTCTGGGGTGACGGGGTGGGATGTGGGTCAACATCCGCGATAGGTGCGGGTTCCCTGGCACGAGGTTCGTTGACGCCGCATGCGTCCGCGTCACACGGCATGTCTAATATCCTGGAAGACCATTGTCCATATTGTGCCTCACGTCCGAGAAACGATCGATCTCACAACTTCAAAACACACCGCAACGTCAATGAAGGGTAGGGATACCATTCCCTGAACCGTACGAAATGGAATTTTTACCGCGCTGTCCGGCATCACTGACCCCTCTTTCTGGCGCAGAAGGCCTGCTTCCGGTGAAGAATAACGTCACAGCACCTGGAGCTTACCGCTGTTTAGTCTGACTTGCGGTGACGCCCGCGACTCGTCGTTTACTGTAGGGGAACGTTTGGGTGTTTTTGCGCTAGCAGCAATGGTTCTCTGCGATCACAACCATAGCGCAGTACTCTGGAGTACCTTGAGCAGTCGGTTAATCGTCTCAAATTGCCCTAGAGTATGTTGATATCAGCGCCATGTCGTCTCTGAGCCAATATGGGCCCGCGGTAACAAACCAGGAACAGGCGAATGTTCTCATGCCATCTGTGATCTTTGCTTCGCTGCTCTCGATCTACGGATAGTGTCACTCGTGCAAAGGGCTGATTCAAAAATATCCGATCGCTTTCGGTGTGACCCGTGTATCTTTGCATATGCAGCCACCACCCGCTGCAATGGGCTTGGAACGGCGGGACGGATAGACTGCACCACCATCGTGCCATTCGAATGTGCATTTCAACAAAACAGGACAGTATACGTATGCAAGGCTTGCAGAATCACGCGTAGATCCACTAGTGGGTAGTTTTCGAGAGGTGAATACCTCGAGCATCACCTCACTGTCGTCCACGCGCCATCAGGAAGAGCTCGCCATAGTGCGCCCATTGCGCTAAAGAACTAAGGAAGTCAAAGCTTCCGTGATGGTATCTTACGTGCCCATACATTGCCGGCCGCGGCTGTTGTACAAGCAGATAGTCCCATGAATGATTACTGCCATCCACACGAGTCTTGGCGCGGATCGACCGCTGGCCGGGTAGATTGGAGACAGCCGAAGCCACCATAGTGACGTCTGAAGCGGGTATAACACATGTTACCAAAGCTTCGGGGGCGTTGTCGTCTTGATTCGGCGCCGCCGTTGAAGCCTTACAATCGGGAACATACAGGTACTAGCGTGTTGTTGTCAGACGGCCGCTCATCACATGCGGTAAGCTCTGGCATTCGAAGACGGTTCGGACGATAAGTCTGCTCTCAAGCCTCGGCTCTGGTTGATAATTCTACGGCATCTCCGACTTCATGCATCTGTTGTTGGCGATTTCGTGGGGAGTCGATTTGCATTGGTGCATTTTGACAGGCAAGACTCGGAGCGACACTGACTGTGGATGATGATGTGGAAGACCACGGCACATCGCGCAGCCTACCACAAGATGTGATTATATATACACTCGTCGTTAGCCAGCCTTCTTGACGCTTCGATAAACATACTGAATTACACCTGGCTTCAACAGGCAATATCATTATTCTCCGCTCTTGTTTATCCCCACCGATGATCCTCTCGCTTTGCCGGGAACTTCTTGCCACCGGGCCTTCGTCTCACTTTCAGCTCTTCCACTCAAGCATCTCTCGACCTGCATAATCTCACCACATGTAGCCAGTATGTCTTCCAGAAGCGGGGACTCGGACATCCATCCAGATCGCATCCAAGCCCGCGAGGACCAATGGCGTCGCGACAACCAAGCCAGAAACCGGTCACCAGTCAGAAATAGAAGCTTCGATGTGACCGAACTCGGCGCCATCGGTGCCCTCTTTGATATGCCTGGGGATGAGCCTTGGCCTCCCAGCCTAGAGCTCACCGACCACGACGCCCTGTCTGACAGTGCCAACTTCACAACGATGACCACAGATGCTAGCATCGATCTACGAAGGGTCGAGTTAAGGGGAACTGCAGGCAGCTCGCCCATATCTCGCGCATGCACTCCTGGAAAATGCGTCCCGTATCTTCCATTGCATGAGTACGAGGAACTACAACGACAGAGATCGGCCAGCAGTAAGACTCTCCACAGTATCCTCGGACGATCTGATGTCTAACCAGTGCTATTATTCGATATGCGTTGGCCAGAGTTCACGCTGACGGATCGATAGAGCGACGCCGAATCTCTGTGTCGACCACGGTAGAGCCCGGAACACAGGACGAACTTGATGAACATGACGAAAACCACTATATCGAAATGCACAACACTCCCTTCTCCAACCATACCCCATCGCACGGCTCCCGTGACTTGACAGACAAAGAGGGTTGTAGCGTGAAGGATGTGGGGCTCAGTTCTTCAGAACCTTGGTCGCAATTCGGTCGAACTGTCGGAAAGAGCGTCTGCAGTGGCCCACAACCGTATGCTCTGCACTACGAGGGTGTCGCCGAATGAATGACCGTCACATGGAGGTCCACAATGATGGCAACGCCACTGATGAAGGTTTTGCGATGAAGCAATGGAAACAAAGTCTTCGTGACAAGACCTGTGGTCTCGTCGGCATCGGATTGTCTTCTGTCAGCAGCCTTGGTAATGGGGATTTCTGTTATCATTGGTTCCTTGTCGCTACCGATCTTCGGCTGAACGTTTTTGCTCATTTGACTCCAAGATTACATCGTGCATTGATAGTCGCGAGCGAACAAGGAATACATCATATCCACCTCTTCGTCCACACCTTCTAGTCACTGGTCCCGCTGACAAAAATTATCGAAAGCGGCGCTCAATTACTTCGAGACGTAAAAGCATACGAGATCTGATGCTGCGTTGAATGTTCAAGTGAGATTAAATCCGGCCCAGGAAGAACGTCCTAACGAAGGAGTGCTACCCATCTGCGTAGAACTGCGGATGATCTGAAAGTCGATCTGCATCTTGCGCGAGCAAAAGAAAAGGCGCGCACTGTATATGCGCCGCCGTATAGCAAATATCTGCGTTCATCGTCCAGAAGCCCATGAAGCGCCTTGAGCTAACCAGGTAGGCACGGGTGTCGCTGCTTCCGAGTGGATAACATCATGAGCTGGCGGGGAACGTACCGTTTTAAGACTTTGTCGCAGCGCACTTCCTGCGTATCTGGAAATAACGCGTTTGAAAAGCAAGATCAAAGAGGGGAGAGCGGGATTTGCACATAAGAGTGATGCGACGGCAGCGGCAGCGCCATGACCCCCGCAAGTTTCCGCAGGGCAAAACTGCGGGGCCGGGAAACGCCCTCGGGATGCAGGTGAGCCAAAATCGCAACCCCATTGAAACCTGAATCAGACACTTCTCAGAGATATCAGGGGTCTTGCAAGCTGCTAGTAGATCGGTCGTCATGCTTTTGTCGGAATGGTGGAGATCTACGGCTGTCGGCTGCCACGGACCCTCTGCGCGTTCCGCGCAAAAGCAAATTTCGTACGCCTTCGACGTTCGCTATCGAAACAGACGTTTACCGTTCATGAGCGGGGTCTTACCAGTGGTGTTGAGTAATACTAAGAGCAATCTAACCTTCCTGGTCTTTGCGTGCATACAGTGATTCGGTTGGCTCAAATCTTCAAGGGCTGTAAATACATGTTTGCTAAGATGTACTTCTCCGTCAAGGAGTGAGGGACGGTAAGTCTAATCGACGCAAACCTACACGCTGTAGTACATCGACGCACACTTCCAAGCAAGTTGTCAGTAGCTGTATCGTTGTCGATAATCCTACTGTCAATCTCACAACAAATATGAGAACACAATGACTGAGCATTGCAAGAGTGTTCGGCCCGTTCGTGATGCTACAAGTAGCTTCTATCAAGTATGTGGTGGTAGCAAGTACTACTATATCTATACAAATCGCTTTTGTTCATACAAAATCGTCCCTCGAAGTGACAGTGGTGGTGATGGTGATATCGCCCGGGTCCTTCGGCTCATGGTTCCAAGCGTTGTTCCCATGACTCTCCCTGAGTATCGTCTCCTCGCTTGCTGTATCACTGCCCATCCGAACTGTTGTCTGTAAAACACTCTCCCCAGGGCCCATGTATATTTTATCCGACTTCCTACTTCCATCCATACCACGGCTGCTCTTGGACTTGGAGTACTCCTTGAGTGGATAGGAGTTCTGGCCTGAGGAGTCGCCGTGTGAACCGTATTTGATGCGGACGTAAAGTGGCCGAAGAACGGGGACACACGCGCAAACAATCGTGAGGAATACTTCGGTAGAAGACCAAAGAAGCATACTCGCGGTGTCGTACACATAGTTCTCCATTGA